GAGTTGAGTTCTGCTGTCCATTGTATTGATGTAGAAACTGGCCCTGGGTATACTGGGTACCTATGAATAATTTTCAAAAGACAAATCAGAAAAAAATTCGGTATGATTTATATTCAAGTAGAGGGTTAAATCCATTCAAGAAGTTGTTTGTTGCCAATTAATTACCTACCAGTAATTAGAATAATAAATTTGAGCACAGTTGTAAGACTTGGCATTGACTTTCACTGTAGGCCTATCTGGAAGCTGTACTAAATACTATCATTAGTATTGGTAATAAATCTGTCAAAATAGGCGAAAATGGATAAAAAGGCAAAGAAGCCTTGAAAATATAACTTGATTGAGCAGAAGTCTTTACACTTTATAAATATGACCACTGGAATTATTCACATGAATTGATCAGCTCAGACTTCAACATAATGTTAAAAAAGATGGAACTTTTGCACTTAGTGAAACTCAGTGCTAAAATGGAGATGTAGCTCTTTTTCATTACAACATTTGCAATTTAAAAAAAGAAGTGTATGTAAAGAGTTCCAGGCTGGAAGTCTTAAACAAATGATGTAGTTAATTAATTCTTCACTTCTGTATTCATGTAGAACCAACAGGAGTGAGCACAGTCCTTCAGATGTCAATCCATCTTGTCTATCCTAAAGATCTTGTCATTTGTTAAACTACTTGCTAGACGATAAAAGTACCAAAAATGAAGAGAAATGCTGGTAGTGAACTCTGAATATGATATGCCTCTGTTTAGAAGTTTAAAATAGGAGATAAGTCTTTCTGCAGGATGGAATTTGCCCACAGTGTGTGATGTATGCAGAAATGACTGTCCAAGGGAACAAGGTCTGAGCATCTTTAGAAGCAATATACTTTTAACATGCCATTGGTCTGACCCAGTGACACCAAATAATGTTGTCAAAACACGATTTTTAAAAGACACTGTTTTTTTGGCAAGTGCACTAGAATTCAGAGTATTCAAATTGCTAGTTACACAAATTCAGTGGAGTGCTCTTGAAAACTTCATCAAATATTTTACAACCTCAATTAAAATAGAATGACTTTGAAGAAATGCTGGAGACTTTCTCTTGAATTTTTATTTTGCACTGAATTATTTTTATTACTTTTTTTTACATGAAATGCTGCTTTTATAGTGTAGAGTCTAGATAAATTGTTTTTTTGTCAATATGCCATGACATACTAAATTCAGAAATTCTAACTGGTGGGGAGCTATCATCTATATACATCAGGATCTCTGTCAGTTACCCAGTTACTGTTGCTCAATTAAACAGAACTGGGAAAAATCACACCAGTAAGGTCCCTTATGCTTGAACCAATCTTGCATAATGTATTTAATGACCTGAAAAATAGTTGTAATAGCAGGACAACAACACTTCCTGCTAATGCAAAACTGTTCAGGTTAATTTAAAATAATGTGCAAACACAAGAAGTCTCATAATACCGAATCACTGAAATGTAAAATGCCGGAAGAAATTGTATGTTAATGAACATAATGTACCTCATGAGGAGGGGAAGGGAGCTGAAGAACAATGTCTCTCATCATACCTATAGAATAATGAACTCTAAATTATGTATTATCACTCATGAGAGATTCTGAACTCAAAATAAGTAGATTTTTCTGGAAGGTAAAAAAGAAGCAGCTGTCTGGATAACACCTGAGCAAAAGAAAATTAATTTGGGAAATTGCTGGAAAATAGCGACAGTGCAGAAAATGTAATTGCAGTGTAGAAATCTGTAATTTACCTGAATTTTGGATATTGTGTGCATTTCTTGCCATCACATCTTAAGGTATAGGAAGATTGGAAAGACTTTTTGAAAAGGTGGGGAGAGTAAGTGGATGACTGGAAGAATAGAATCACTTCTGTATGGTGACAGATTAAATAGACCCAGTTTCTCTACCTTGGAAACAAGATAACCAAGAGAACGTAAAAAATAAAATGAAATACACAGAGGGTGAATGTGCAACTATCATTTAGGTATCTCTTAGCATACAAGAAATGAAGAGTTTGTATTAATATATCCAGGCAGAAAGTTTAAAACAAACAATAAGAAACACTTTGTTTATATAAAAAATGTGAGACACTGCAACTAGATGTAAAGGATGAAAGTTTAACTGAGTTCTAAAAGGGTTTAATGGCTACTTTTGTTTCATGGATTGTAAGAACATCCTGCTTAGATACAACTTCTGGCTTAGGAAGTTCCTAAACCACTAATTGCCAGAAGATGGCAAGGAGAAGTTGCTCAGCTCTTGCCATGCCTCTTATAATCTTTCCTTATGCATCTCCTAATGGCTGTGTTGGGAGCAGGATAATGGACTAGACACTTTTATTTTTTTTTTTTTGTCTGACCCATTATGGCTGTTTTTATTTTGTAGGCATAGATGGTTTTATTTTTTTTCAGTAATGGGAGACAAAATGGAAATTTTCATCTTGTTTTTGGAGTTCCGTAAATGCTGTCTGGAATATGATTCTTAATAACTAATTAGGAATGATCACACTTTTTGCTTTGCTTAATTTATAAAAAATTAATCTACAAGCTCATCTGTTGAATGCTTAGGAAGATTTTATCTAAATACAGGGAGATGTGTATGAAAATGAATCATTTATATATTTCACATCACTAGTCATGATATATGTGTATTTTAAAGAATAATGTGTCAGAAAAACTGACATAGTGGGAGGAATCTCCTATGGTTATTCTGACTGAAAAGAGGTGCATTGTGTTATTTTTGCCATTGTTGTGTGTTAAAGAATGCTAAGTTTCAATGGCAGAGCAGCCTAAATTCTACAGTTGTATTTCTTTCAATTAGCAGGCACAGATGAAAACAAGGCGAGTTTGTCTTGCTTTCACTTAATTTTGTTTCTTCTTCACCTTTCAACTCTAATTCTTTGGAATCCTTTTATTATCAATCCATTTTCCACTAGAGAAAGAGATAATACTGAAATTTTGCAGTATTTCATGTTGTGTTAAAAAGACTTGTTGGAAATTAAAATGATTTTCAGCTGGTGAAAACTCCGGAAAAAAGATTTTATTCATTGTAGATCAGAAATCTGAAATTCTTGCTGAGTAAAGTGCCCCTTTTGGAAGTGTGTATGCAAATACTACATTTGTTAGTCATGCCTGTGTTTATAAATTCCACAGAAGCTTTTTTAGACCTATAAAAAACAACATCTACTATGCCATGGAGAATTGCAGTGATACTTTGAACTCTTGGCCTCCTGCTTTGCTTTATTACCATGGATGATGTTGCATTTAGAGGGGATATAATGAGCCTAGTGGTGGACAGATATTGATATAGTCTTTTGTTACTATTGCAACCATGGTTAATTTCAACAGCAATCATTGAGAATACTTTCAGCTTTTACACAGAGTTAAGGAAAATTTAAGGAATTTGAATATACATGATGGCTTTTTAACAATAACTTGTCTTTTCCCCTTAGCTCTATGTAACTGCCCCTTAGATTTATATACATATTTATATATATACTAATATCTACTATTGATGCTGAAATTGGGGTTTTTTATATGCATTTATTTACCAGAGGAACTGGTCTCCTGCGAGGATTTGGGAGTGGAAATGTAAACTGAAAATATCTGGGCTTACTGTTAAATCTGGAGGGAAAAAAAAAGGATGTGTGGTTTCCAGAGACAATAGACAGTGCCTGTTCTGTCACTGGTTTGGAAGCAAGGGTCAGATGGGACCCCTTGGCAGAGGTCATGCTCCTTCCTTCGGGAGCTCCCTCCTCCAAAAGGAAACAGGTCCAGCCATAGGTGTGGTAGGAGAGGGTCAAAATAAAAGACTGGGAGCCTGCATTTTGTGAGAGACTGCAGGAGGCAGCAATGGGCCAGGCAGGCTTTAGGGGGAGCAAATTTCCAGAGTGTGAAAGGGATCAGGGTGCTGCCACTAGGGAATTCCCTGAGCTAAATTAAAGAAAGGTAGAAACCATGGTGTGTCTGCAAAGACAAGGTAGGTAAGGATAAATGCAGTTGTGTAAACTTTGCTCTGACCTAGGGTCTTATACCTGATCTTTATATACCGTTAGATACAAGTTAATAACACTAGTCATGTCTAATAAAACCTGACTCTGTGTGTATGGTTGGGGTGAGAAGTTGATATTTTTTTTATTATTAGGATCTAGGCACCTCGCTATAAGAAAAAATTTAGGCAGCTCTACCTCAAGGTTCTGGGGAACTCAGGACAACTCACAAAGGTGAGATCAGAACAGCTCAGTACAGCTGCTCTTGGGTACCACTTTTTATTATCTGGAGGGTGCAAAATAGGCAAACCCATTGCCCCTGTATCAGAATATACTCATCAAGGAGTTTTTCAGCCTCATTGGTTTGCATCGTATTTGCTGCAGAGCAAAATATATGTTTTGGAAGTCAGATGTGCAAATTGTTCAGAAAGCAGTGAGAAATAAGGTGAAAGACAAGGTCAGAAAATAAAATGCAGCTGAGGTTTAAGGGATTATGATAAAGCAGAAACAGATATTGCTGCTGACTGCAGCATTCACTGTCTTGCTTTGGCTGTGTCAGTGTAGGTGGAAGGGCTCTGGAGAGATGCTTTCTCTGTTGTGCGTAACAGACAAAGTATAGAAAAAGCTGACAGCACAGTCCCATACATAACAATCAACCACACCTATAGCTTTGCTCACTTATCATCATATTAAACTCTCAATGTACAAGAAACATTTCCTCCAAAAGTGTAGTCTAAACTTCTGTTTACTTATCTCTAATCTCTACTGATTTTCACAAATGATTTTATAGCAGAGTATGTGGTGTAAGGGTGATTAGAAAATCAAAACCTGTTTGGCATAGAAAACTAAGTATGTTGCTGTGTTACAACAAGCAAATTATTTGCTCAATTAGCTGCCTTTTGTCAATCAATTGCAACCTGGTAAGTGGATGCAACTTTATGGTATTGCTGGTAGTTATTTTAAGGTTGTTTTGTTTTACCTTGTTCTTCCTTCTCTTTCTCTGCCTTCTAGCATGCACTTAATTCAGGTGGACTCCGTTCAGCGATGGATGGAAGATTTGAAGTTGATGACAGACTGTGAATGTATGTGTATTCTCCAGTCCAAGCCAATCAGCATTGAGAAAAATGAACAAAATGAACTTATGCTTTCCTCACAATATAGTACGTGTGATAACTTGCAGCTGCTGTTAAAAAGAGCTTGGATCATAAGCACAGAGCTGACCAGGATTTCTCAAAAGTTGGAGAGAAATAGATGGCAAAGAGTCCACAGCATGACAGTGAGAGTCAACTGCCATGTGCGTTCAATGATAAATGAATACAATACGTTCACCAGGAATTCTTCAGAAGAAATGCACCAGGTAGGATGCCTTACCTGATGTCATGTTTGTCCTGTTTGTTTTTTTGTTTGGGGTTTTTTTTTTTCTTTGTTTCTTTTGTGTGGTGGGGTTTTTTTGTATTTTTTAAATAAGTAAAACTTGCTGTAATCTACAAGAAGTCCTTACACACCAATATTGGTCCCTTGTTTTAGACTTTTTAATCCCTTTTCAGCAATGGAAGCACTCTTAACTCATTTTGGATCCTATAGGCCTGATTCTGAATGTTAATAATGAAAAAATTTTTGGTTTTGAAGACTACTGGACTAAAGAAATTAGATACCCCATCTGTGAGTTCCTTAGCATTTACTATGTAGAAAATACTATTTTTTTATTTTTATTTTTTTTATTTCAGTTTTATCTCTATTTGTTTTATTCAGAAAAGTAGAAAAAGGATGTCTATATAGGAAATATGTTCCTGGAGGGTTTTCACCTAACTATCATAAACAAGCATTATTTATTTAAAAAGCAATTGTGTGTATGGATATTGCTTTGAAACCACTTTGTCTTTCTCTCTCTACAGTTTGAAAAACTTCTATTAGACAAGTGTTCAGAATTTACAGCATTCACAGAAAGGTAATTTAAACTTTCTAGTTCAAATATTCATTTTGTTATGTTGTAGAAATTCTAATGAGAAGTACAAATCCACTAACACCCTCAAATGTTTGAACTAGAGCCCTGCAGCTGTGAAAGGCTTTCTAAATGGTAGCCTTTGGTTGATGAAGTGAGCTGCTTTTATCTAAACTGCATCCTAATGAAAGATGGGATCTGCTGTTGCACAAAGAATCTGGCATAGACACAAAGCTGCATTCAAGTGCATTTTTTTCAGGGCTTTTCAACATCAGTGGAGAATGTCTGGCTCTAATGATATCAGTGACAAAGTTCCCTTGAAGTTCTGTGGAGCCAAGATTTCAGCTGGTGTAAAAACTTATGTTGCAGGACTGTCATACTGCATGTTCCCGTATGCGCATATGCATGTGTTAGTAAATCAAACTGAAATATATACATACTCCTTTAAATTGGAGTTGTAGGTTTACTCAGCTCTGTGCACTCCAAAATGCTGAGACTGGAAAATAAGAATCTCTTTATAATTCTTCTCATGATATTTCCTCTGCCTAACATAAATTATCCTGTTTCCTCCAGCACAGTTCAGTCCTTTTTGATTTACTTTAAACACTGTGCAACTTGTTCTGCTTGGGAGATCATTGGGAGAAAGATGCCATTTAATTAACAGTAAAGAACATTTCTTGAGCTTTACTACTTTTTGCCAAACCCACACAGATCGGACTTTACTTTTATCTACTACAATGAGACACACTGATTTAATGAGAGCTCTGATCTTGTAGTGTTTGCCCCATATCAGACCTCTCCCTCCTTGTCTGTTTGACAAAAAGTTGATATAGGTGGGTGAAAGAAAGGTAAAGCTTAAAAAGGAATCTACTGTGTAGGTGGAGCTACTGACCAAACCGTATCTTCTGTTACAGTGATGTGCCTCAGTGGAGTATGTTTTGACGAATCAAATGAATGCATTTCTGTGAGAAAGTACAAGTTACTTCATTTGAATTGTATAGTTTTCCATTTTTATCTCATTTGGTTACAGCCAAATATCACTGGTTTCAGGACAGTTATACTAACACTGTAAAGCTGCTGTATGTAATCTTTCTGCATAGGAGGCCAAATTTGGCTTTTGAGTATGCTCTTTATATTTAAATGAACTTTACTTATCTGGAAATGCATCCATTTTGGGTCCATATCTTGCTATGTTAAACTATGACAAAGAAGTAAAGAAATGAAAATTTTTGAAAGCATTTCTTCCATCATGAAAAATGGATATATACAGCTGCAGTTGAAATGCAGGTATCATAGAGTGGATGTAACTATTAGCATAGGTGGAAAATAGCAGAATTACACCAGTATAAACACACAGCATAGCATCTGTGGCAAAATTTGGCCTGCAGTCTGTGAAATAAGTTGTGATCCCAAACTTACTCATTCATGTCCACTGTTGTCTTTGATATACTTGCTATTTGTAGACAAAGCTTTGATTGAAGTCTGGTATAATAGCACAAAGACAGTGTCCTCATGAACAGTTGAATTCTCATTATATCCTGATAACACAGAGCTCAGCTTGATAAAACGATAGTTGTCTGTCTGCATCTTTTTGCCTTCATCAGTTTCCTTTCTCTTTCATTTCAGGTGCATACAAACTGAAGATGAACAGATACTGAAGTCCATCAAGTCTTGTATTAATGAAACGCTCACTACTGTTGCTCAGTATTTTGGCCAGTTGATAGAGCTGGTTTTAACACATGAGGCACAGGTTAGCTTTTAGTTAAAAAAAAAATAAAATAAAATATTGTTGCATCTTTGCATCTTGAGAAGAAAGCATCCGTTAAGACCAGGATCAGAATTATAACTCCCAATTTTCAGCAAACTTATCAGTAATACAAATATCTTGCAAAGAGATTTAGGTGTTTGTATTCTCAGATTCTCCAATAACCTCAAATCCCAAACAAAATGATCTTGTGACTCACTGTTGCTTACTTTTCCTGATGCGTTGCCTTCAATGCAAGGCATCTAATTTCTGGACAATGTCTTGTTAATAAGAACTTTGGACATTTTCTCTTCTTTCCATACAAACGCTACTTTTATAGAAACCTCGAAAAAATTATCTCCTCCTCTCACTGATTCTCATTAAAAGCTTAACTTCTGGGTAGATGTACACATAGCAAGTATCCTTTCACAGCACGCATTTTAAATAGTGCATGCCTTATATCATTACTTCCTAGAGCCTAAGTGTTGTGTACAGGTTTTGTGTGTAACCTTCTAGAAACAGTGCTGTATCCTTACAGTAATGGTGTAGAGTTTCTGGTGGTGATATAAGTACGTAAATGTGCTGAGTAATTAGTCTGAGACTACAAATGCACGAAATGCTGTCCATTTGACCATTCTTGAAACAGTAGTAACTTGCAAGTCTAACCAATCTACAGTCTTACACTGGTTTCTCTCTTGAGATCTCATTAGAAACCCCTTTGCACCCTCTAATCTTCCTCAAATAAGTAATTATGCTTAATTAATTTCTCCATATTTTAGAGCTGATGTTATGCTGAAATTTTATGTTGTCCTGGTAGAAAAAGAGGAAATAGGAGTCTTAGTGAAGAGGAAATAGTTAAATAATATTCACTGTGATGCTAAACTAAAGCTAATGCATACTACTGCTTAAATTCTAACATACCTTGATGTATTAAGATACCAAAATGTTGTGGTTCTTTAAAACACCCCTTGTAATTTAAAAAGGTTATTACTAAAAGGTGAGAACCTCCAGCATGCACTCGCAGAATTACAGTCAAACTAACAAGCTACTTGCTAATGCTCTTGGTTAGGATTTATGAGAGCTACATGAAATGCCACATGTGAGTTGAAGTGTATATATAATTTTGCATATTCCATATCAGTGATTAGGTTGTGGTTGTTTTGATGCTTAGTTGTCTTAATTTGAAAAGCAGTTCTTGCTAATATTTCTATCTTTGCTCACTTTGGCACCTACTGGTACACATGAAATTACTCTGCATCATCTCGTGTATGTTTGTGGCAGAAGGCTTAAATTACAGGTCATTAATGAAAACATTTTGAAAAACAGTTTTCTGAGCCATTCAGTCAGGCTGCATGCCCACATGCCATCAAGCATGTGCCGGGGGCTAGTTTGCTGCTCTGGAACAGACTAGGTGCCTGCATGAGAGGCCAGAACTCTCAGCTTAAATTTTGTACTCAAGAGCTTTTTTTTCCTTAATCAGTGTGTCAGGATTTTATTCAGGAAAGGTCCATATCAACACATGGTTTGGTAAATTATGTCTTTTATGGAACGTTTTTCTAATGCTAAAGTTGGAAGAATATAGTCTATAAAAGAGGAAGTAATTGAATTTTATATAAATAACAGTGTAAAATGTGGGACACTTCCTTGCACTTCTTTCAAAATTGTATTAAACATAAAAATATTTACCTTCTTTCTCCTAGTAAATATTATAAATTCTTCCTCTAATGATTGTATGTACTCTCAGAAAAATCCAATAAGCTTCATATTCTTGACAGCTGTGCTTTTCTGCGAAGTTGCAATGGCACAGATACAAGAGCAAGATAACTACTTACACATATAAAAAGATTTAACATGTTTCATACATTGGAAAATAAACTATATTCCTCTAAGATTTCCCTGTATTTGCCAACGATATTTTCTGTGTAGAGTGAGAATAGTGATGAACCCAGAGCCTTAGAAAGTAGTGTTAGAAAGAATATAGCAATAATCCTTATAAATAAGGTGGAATTCTTGTGTCGCCTTGTGATACCAGCTTCTACACTAAGAGAATCCGTTCCCTTCTGAAAATTTTAATTCAATCTTAGGACATACCCAGTAATAACTTACTTAAGTAGCTGAGGAGCTCTTTATTATATGTTCTCACACACACCCCTGTTTTCTTACTCTATTCATATTTATTTTTAAATATCAGTATTCTTGGTTACATCTATTCAAATGCAATGCTAAAATGCATTACAGTGTTATCAGTCTAACTCCTGCCCATGGGGTTTGTTTTTTTGCCTTTTTCCTTTCTCTGGGTGAGAAGCAAGGTGATACAGATTAAGTGAACTAGACTTTCTGCTGTATCTTACCTTTAAATATAACACTAATTGTTTTCATCAGAAGTCATGTTTATTACCTTCTGTCACACAGAACCTACTGAGACAAATAGAATTGGCAGACAGTATGTGCATCACCGAGTCGGCGATTAGTAGTTTATTCAGCCTTACCCAAGAAGGTGCTCATCTGTGCCGTATCATAGCTAAGGTAAGGAGATATATGGACTAATCAAAAGTAAACTAATAATACAAGTGAGTTATTCTACTTAACACAGTAGTGGTTGTGAGTTTTGTAATTTACAGTACAAGATGGAATTATGTATTCCAGGAGACAATCCAGGTAAAAGATCAAAATTTACCCTGAGAAACTGTTTGGATTCTTTTTCTCCCTTTGCTGCTTTTGCAAACTCTACTCTGAGGAGTATATTACCATAATTATCCTATTAGATTAAAACAACAAAAGGGCTGCAACTCCCAAATCTTTAATAAAGCTCAATGCCTGTGTAAGCAACTGCAGCAGGATGGTAAGCTTCTACATGCTTCTGGACATTGAGTCAACTGTGGTTGCCTTTGTGCCACCTGAGGTATTACCGCACCTTTCAGCATCTTTGGTTATTTTTTTGTCTTCCTGACAGTACTTTTTAAATACCAGGCATGTAAGTGGAGAGAAATTGGCCATGCATATGGCTGACTACACAGAGAAATGGCAAGTCCTCCTCAGCTGTGTGTACAGAGGAGGTTAGAGATATTATTAGACATGTACTTTTAGAAATACTTCATATCCATTAGTTTTCTTTTCCAGAGAGGCATCATTACAGTTAATTCCAGCAGTGTGTGTGTTCTCGTTACAGAGTAGTTGATTCTAACTTTTGGTATACATGAATCAGTCATGCCAAGATCAATGATACTGGCAATCCCTGCAGTGTTTGCACCTTTGGGGACAGCTGGATATTGAACAAGTGGGAAAGGCAGGGTATTAGGTGAGATCAAGTACAGGATAATCACTACTGCAGTGTATATAGAAAGAAGAAAACCTCCTTTCCCAAACTTGTGGAATAGTGTGGCAATCCCTTGTCCTGCTCAGAGATGAGCTTGAACAGTTGCATTTAATTAGTTTTACTTCTGATCTGCCTTTAGATGAATATTTGCACTGTAAAAGGTACCGCTCTGTTCTGAAGGCTGTGAATGAGGTAGATTCAGAATGAGAACGACAACATGAGAGGTTTAATTTTTTCTAAATCGGTATTTGAGCTCCACTCAGTGGTATTTGAAAACAATGTTAAAACGTGCAGAACTAACAAATTGAGGAAAATTGGTTTGTGCTTTTTATCATTGCATAAATTCTGTAACAGTTTCATTTAGCAGAAATAAGGTCTGACCTTCCATAAATCACTAAATTACTTTACTACTAAAACCTGGATGTGTGGCAGATTTACAAGTGATGAAATGCATCCCCTTAAGCAAAGAACCCTAAGTGATGTTTGGTTGCCAAATTACAGTGGTGATTGCACCACCTGTCCTCTGTCTGTTTCCTCTGTGAAATACGTATGTCCCAACTCATCATCATCTTTCATCTTCTGTATTGCCCGAGTTACCTGCATCAGTGACCAAGGTGGCTGAGGACTTTTAACAGAACAGAATTTTAAATTCAGTCACTAGAGGAACCAGCTATGACAGTGAAAGTACAGGGTGACGGAAGGGGAGAAATCTGGAACTGCCCCACTCATTAAGAGTGTGACAATAGGTTCAAGTTTTGCAAAGATCTCAAAACTTCCCACAGGTACTGAAGTTCCCTTCAGAGCTGTCATTTTATCTTTGGTAAAATCTAGCCAGCGAAGCACAATATTCATTTACAGTAAATGCAAAACTCAATAAATCTGTTCATGTAACCTTGAAGTCCTACAATGATGTCTTCACAATGTGTGATCTTGTGGATCACTGTTGTTAGCTTTTTCCTGTCCCATGTTATAGATCACACAAAAAGCACACAAAAAATCTCAGACATGCAAACAAAGAATCATGATAATATTGTAAAGCTACAGTATTGTAGGAACTGGTTTCTCACTTTACATTTTGGTAAGGGCCTCAGTATTCTCTCTCCCCTACTGTCCTTCTCCGTCAATATCTTAACAAAATTTAAAAAGGCTTTAAAATGCTTCCCCTATGCTGAAGTGTAATCTATAATTTTATTCCACCTAGGGATATTCTCTTTTTTCCATATTTGTTTTTTTCATGTGAAAAAGTCATGTTGCTGACTCACCCTGGCAGCCAGCTAGTAGTTCTCACCAGCTGTCAGAACTATGAAGACACAAATGAGTAGTAGCAATGGTGAGATAAGAAATGAACGGAGAAAGCCTAGATACTAATAGAAAGGGTGAATTCTGAGCTAATAGAATAACCAATGTGGAGCTGTGAGTTTTGAACCCAAATCTGTAGTGTTTGTCTACAAGCAACTAACTACATTGGTGGCAGCATAATGAAAACTCCACCAGTTTAGATAATTTTAAAAGCAAAAAGAGAAAATGAGAAAAGAAAGAACCAAGTAGAGCATTTGTTACAACTACTGGGGAAAAGTTTTAGGTTTCTGTCTGCAGTTCAGTTTCCTACCCTTGGAACCAAATACAGCTAAAATCCTTCTCTGTTAAGTCTTATGACACATACTTAGGCATCAAACAATGTGAATAAATTGCTGTATTATTTTCTCAGGTAGCATTTTAGGGATTTATTCACACAAGTTTTTTTTATTACATTGCATCTATTAGGTTTTGATCCTAGGATCTTTCATATTAAACATTTAGAAGTTAGTCTTGGTCATTAAAACCCTACCTTCATGTTCTGAGAGCATAAGGAGAAGTTAAAAAACAGAAATCCTAAATTTTTAGCAGACTTGAGCAGTTGTTGAAAATTAGCATTACTTATGTAGACTGGTTCGAAATTGATTTCTCTGTAACAACCACAAGAGACAGTAAAAATCAGTTCCAGAGTTACAATAAATAAATGCTGGGACACAGAGTGATAAAGAAAAAAAGTCTTTGTAAAGAAATCTATTTCACAGATGATAATTAGAGTCTAATATTGAACTGGATGCTACAATAATAGCCTCCTAAAAGAGGCAAAAATGAAGATAATGAAGATAGCCATGCCTGCTTATCACACCCTTCTTTGGAGAATGTTTGCCTATTCAAGTTGCATATGGATGTGCAGAAGATCACTTCTAACATATTTTAGCATTCTTTTATGTCACTTCCTTTTCTAAAAAATATTTACTGTGAAGTTTTCTTTGGACATCATCTTTCAAGCTAATTGTAAATATTGACCTCCATCATGAGGAAAGACTTGATGAGAATTCACTCTACTTTGAATCATTTCAGACTTAAACTGCAAAATATTATGGTTTAGAGTTGGATGCCTTTTCTTCCACCTCTCTTTCAGATACTGCTTCACAGAGTATGCAGAGCCTGCCCCAGATGGAACTTGAATTACAGCAAAAGCTGTAAATCTGTCGTTTGGTCAAAACCTGGAAATGCCAAAAATTCTGCAAAAGATAAAAAAAAAGCATGCTTAGATGTCTTGAGTGCTTTTGGAAAGGAGCAAGTTAATCTCCAAACCTCAGTGCTCTTATGTTTCTTTGATTGCTACTGTTTACCCGTTTGACCAATTTGTGTAGCCCTGTCAGAAGGAATAGTTTTGTCATCATTGCAGAAAATACAGGGGACAAATCATGAAAAAGGTGAATAAGTCCTGAGAAATGCAAGAGATCCCAGTGAGGGGAGTGCTTTTGACAAGGCATAGAATCAGACTTGGTATTTTCTGCATATTCCATATTTCACTTAGCTCTCTAGGTTCTTTGCTCACGATCGGTATTTTACAGCTTGGTAGTGGCACATAGGGCACAAAATAGTTTAGATCTTCTCCTGACAAACTCGCTAATAAATCACTTCCTGCCCATCAGAGGCAAAAGCAGGGAATCATTTGTCATAGGGAAAGCTTGAGGCAAATGTGCCAACATCACTTGAGCTTTACTAGTGTTGTCCATGAACTTCTGTTTATTATGACCAAAGCGGAGTATTGGATAATCTCTGATTCCATTGATCTGTGGGTACTTTCAAACTGAGAATAAATAAATAAAATCTCCAGTTACCTTAGGTTTGGGGACAACACTATAATAGCTGATTTTCTGTATTTTTCATAGATAATTTAATTACTGCTTGGGTGAAACATCAATATTCTTTTGTGGAAGAAAAAAACAAAAATCCTTTTGTTAGTGTACTTCCATTTTTATTTTAAAGGCTGAGAAATGTCTTTCTGTGGTAGGCTATATATAACAGTATAGAGATACACGTGCACTTCTTACAATTCCAGAAATAAATTCTACTTTGAGCAAACCTCAGTAAGCCTACTGCTTTCACTAATGTCACGGAAATTGCATATACATGTGCAAAGACATAATATAAAAATTCTATCTTAAAAATATATTGAGGTATTAATTTTGTCTAACTTTCTTAAAAATTGGCATAACTTTCTGTTAAACAGAAAACTGTGCTTGCTCTATTATTCTCCACTGTATTCTGGCACAAAAATGTAGCAGAATTCTGAAAAGCGAGCAGAGTCTAAATTGGAGTCCAGAAGTTTTATATTAGTATGTCCTGTTGAGTTTTCAAATAACACAAATGGCTGAGGAGAAAAAGATTATTTCTGTGAATCTGAAAAATATTTTTATAGAAGCTACTGAAACAGGCTTAAAAAGAAGGGTATATATTACACTTGCTCCATGATTTCAACTTTTTAATTTACTACAGTCAGCCTAATACTTTAGTCTGAGATCTTTCATCTATCAATTTTTTAAATTCTTTCCTTTTCATTATGTCTGCTTTAACATAATACAAGGCATCTGTAGTCTACCTCATGGCCTAACATTCTGAAATGCAGAACAATAAAAAACCCAACCAAACACCACATGAAGTGCTTATATTCTCTGTATGTAATGATATCTTTCCATTTATTATGAACTTTGCTAACATACATGTTTACAACCTGTATTGGAAATGATTAAGGATAGCTACTTTATGGATGTATGTACACTCAAGTCTTTGTCATGATTGTCATATTTAAAGAAAAAAGTTTAGGAATGCAAATATTATGTATTAGTGGGTGAAGATATAGACTGTAACTGTATAACACTGTATAGGAACACCTATTTGGACCTTCTTTTCAGTGGCTCTTCAACCATATGATCTTCTGTTTCGTATTTTATCATTAAGTATATATTGTATGCAGTTCAGAAATGTAGTGGAATGGGAAATACATGCTAACAAAAATCTGGTTTAAACTAATAGCATATGGTTGTGCTATCACTTAAGTGTCATTTCAATTGCTGCCCATTAATAATTCTTTGTAATTTTTGCATGAATGGCAAGTTTAATTTAAACTGTGCTTGTAATTGGTAAAAGTCAATCGCTTAAGCACACCTCCCACTGAGGCTATATTACTTTTTCATTGCTTAGTGTATAAGCATTAATCAATTTGAGTTCTCTGTGTGAGCTTAACATCCTCTTTGTTGGTGCTGTAATGATAGCTAATTTGGATAAATTACTAAAGGAATCTGCTCCCTGTCCCAATCTTGTTTTGATACTGGAGAAATGTTCAGTGCTGCTTTTATGATTTTTTTTTGTTTACTTGTTTTTTTGGTTTTTTGTTTTTTCCCTGCAGGAAGGAGGTGTAGTTGCTCTCTTTAAGATTTGTCGCCAGGATTGTTTCAGGTGTCTTTATCCCCAGACATTGAGAACATTGGCATCCATTTGCTGTGTAGAGGAAGGGATGCACCAGCTGGAAAAGGTAGGCACTTTGGAATTCTTTGTTGACTGCATCATAAAACAGAGAAGTCCTGTCTTCAATCTCTTCTAGGAATTGATAGCTAGGTGGTGTTTGGTACTGTGTTCTACACTCCGCTCAGTTTTTCTGTGCTGAACACATCTTTGGTCTTTACAAAATTAGTCGCAGCAATGACATTATCCTAATCAGTTGCTTGCACAAATAAGCTTTCTAAGTGGGGATAATCTTCACAAAACAGGTAAACATGTTAGTGACTGTGCCAAAGTGTATTTTTCTGGTGGTTGGTTTGTTTTTTTTTTTTTAAAGAAACGCCAATGTTTTAAACAAACCTTAAAAGACAGAAAGCTTTATACCTCTTTAAATCCTTTCCTGATGCTTGGGTAGGGTACCTACGTGTGCAATTGCAGTGCCTTGTGAGAGGTGTAATTGCACAGAAAGAGCTGGCATGGCTATAGCAGTTAGCCAATAGAAAAATGTCTGCTAATTAACAGCAAGTCTCAGAAAAGCTAATTTTAACTGGGACAGCAAACATCAAAGTATTATCCAGATAAAATTATATCATCTTCCTAGGCCTTTTTCCTTTCTCACTTTCACCACATACTGCTGTGTTTTGGAAAATGAACACTTCTGGTCACTAAATCATGATTTCATCCTTTGTATTCATAAAACAGTCATCTTCTACAGCTGAATAATGGCCTCTTCAAGTTAATGATAAATGATTTCACTGCCACTTTACATTGAAGTATCTTGTAATTTACTGCCCAGAATTCAAGCAAACCGTGACACAACATCTGCAGCAAAAAGCAAGTCTCTGAGCTTACAGTAAATGAAGATGACTTAATTTTTTTTTTTTTTTGACATAATGCTGCTTCAGACTGACACCAGAATCAGTCTAAAAGGATCTTTCATTATGTCCATTATAATAGTGGAATTAATAGTTAGAAAAGGAAAAGATTGATTCAACTCACCTGGTCCAATTCCTGGCAGCATCAACATGCATCTAATATGGCCCATATCAAAGCTGACAAAATAGGAGTTGTAGAAAAAGTGATAACTGTCAAGCTCATATGTAATTGATTTACTTTAATGTTGGTCACAAGTGAAATTGCTCAAGGTAAACTTTGTCACAATCAGGATTGGAGTAGGGTTTAAAGGATTTTTAGCTGAAATCCCTACCACTCCTTTCAGTAGTTCAGTTCAGCTGGACCTTCAATTCTTCAATCACGTCTTGGCAAAACCTAAGTCTGCAACATGAGGAGTGGGATGTTAATCCTACTCACCTGAACAGCACAGACAAGTTCGATGTGAGTATTTGGTTATTACTTTGCCAACCTCTTTGCCTAAAATTGTGTTGCTGCATATGTTCCATGGGTCCAGTACATGCCTGGGTTTCTGGTGGAAGAGAATGGGATATTTCGTATATCAAAAGAAACCAGTTTTCCCTGCAAGGAGGTTAATGTCCCTCTAAATGCTAAAAGTTAAACAAAACAGTTCAGTATAATGCTATGTCATCTCTAAATAATTTTTCAGCTGGTGACACCCCAGGTTTGCCAGTTTATAGAGATGAAGAAGGATAGTGAACAAGAAAGTTTTACTATTCTCTGTACTCTTTTCACTCTTCTTGTACATCTATTTAGAAGCAACAAGATATTCTGACCACAGGGAAACTACGGAAAGTATATGGAACAGACAATCAGTATTTTGATGTCATAAGTACTATTTTTTTAAATTTTTTTATATTGTCATTTTTAAATAAGAACAATTTTTCCCTTTCAAAATTTGAAGGACTTCTGCAAAGAACAAAATAGCGGGTTAACAATATTAACATTCCTATCATTACAAAAAGTGCCATAGAACTTCTTGTCTGGCAGAAAGGGCAGCTTCTGTTATCCAACTAAGTCCTGGGTGGTGGTGAAGCATTTAATTTGCTCTAATGTGAATATCATTATGCCACCTAGTGCATTAAAACATCAGTGCAATTTGAACTTGATGTTTTATGACAGAAATAAAGCTTGGCCTCCAAACAATTCAGATTAGGCAATCCAAGATTAAAAAAAAAAAAAAAAAAAAAAAAAAACACCCCCCCCCCCCCCCGCCATTTTTCAATTAGATTTCACAACCATTAGTGTTTAAAAGACCACTTAAAAGAAAGCAGCAAGAGCTCTTCTTTCTGATAGAACATTTGTCTGGGAGGTAAAGTAAAAGGGGGTGAAACACTTTCTACAGTAATTGCAGTGCTTTATTACTAAAGATGTCAGGAATATTGTTATTTGTCCAATGGTCTTTGATCTTGCTAATTCAGTAGCAATGCAAGAAGGTAACAAGAACATCTATGTTAATGAAGATGGTTATTTAGAAAGCAAACAAGGAAGCCAGTAAATCACAAGAGACAATCCAAGTAGAGAGTACTTTAACATTTTTCTTGGGTTTGTAAGGCTGTTGAACATTAGACTTTCTTTATAATTAGTGCAAATTTAATGCGACTGATGTTATACTGAGCTTAAACCATTTGTTCTGGTGAATTTTTTGGATTGCAACGTGGAGATCCGTTCTCATTTATTATGAAGGAAATAAAAATTGAGTGCTTATTTCTAAAGATGTAAAAAATTGCCTATTTTAAGCAAAAATATTATTGTCAATATTTTAAAAAATAATTCTTGTTTTTCCCAGCCACACATCTTTAAATACGTACCTGCACTACTCCCTTCCCAGCACACTTGAAAATAGCCGTTGTTACTTTTTCAGCAGCAATCTGATCTTTCCTGTAATTACAATGACCAAGTAGTTGTTGCAATGACTAGCTTTTACTCTTTTAGGTGAACCTAGTTGGCTGTGTATACAATAACACAAAATCCATTGGTTAAAATGCCAGTTTTAGAATAGTTGTTACTTCACTTGCAAGTGCTTTACTGGCTCTTGAAAAGAGCCAGCAAACTGTAGTTCTTCTTGTACACTGAACTGCAGAGCTCCAGGAACTCAGCAGTAACAAATTATGCAACTAAAGTAAAAAGAAAGTGAAGAAACAGGTTTATTTCGTGACTGAGGTCTGTGTGTAAATAAATGTTGTGCTACATAAGCTGTGCTCCACAAGTGGTAATTTTGGTGCTTCAAGCTGCTTACAGATGGCTAGTAGTTTGGTACATTTTAAGTTCATAATCGACTGTGACACCTGCAGGTTCGAAATAATTTTTTGGCTGCCTGACCAGTCCCACTTCAGAATTTTCCTCCTTTGTATTATTACTGTAGCTGCCCATCCTTGGTCCCAAGAGAGCTTTATCTGTGTCTTGTGGCACTTGAGCATGTAAAGTTTTTAGGAGAAAGTTCACTGCATCATCAAGGATGGTTATTCTCTGCCTAGGCATTCCAGAGTTTGTGCAGAGGCAACATCATACAGGTAATAGATAATACAGGAAAATAGCCAAGATCACTAAAACCAGAACTGCAAGGAGTTTGGGGGAGCTAGAAAACTCAAGAACAATGTTAGTGCTGCACATGCAGGCCTGTTTTTGTATTCAGGCCTGAAGTTTAGGACAGAAATACAATGTTGTTGTAGGAGACTGTTTCTCAGCATAGACATTTGTTGAGGATTCTATAACAAAGAATATCTGAACCTTCATGAAAACTTAATTCACCTCAACATTTCTCATGTAGGAAGGACTGTTGAAGGCACAGAGCTGGAAGAGGTTAACGTGTATTTCATGAAACTTAAGATGAAAAATAGAATTAAATTTAAAAAAGGGATTTTAATGGTCTGATAATGTACATCCTGCAAATTACATTAGGAATAATTGTACTTCAAATACCACTTTCATTGTAAAGACACTCAATCTAACAGACATTGTCTTAAACATGAAGGAACCTTGGCTGGAAAAGGGGGTTTGTATTTTAATACAATTGTACAACTTTAGCACGTTGTTTGCCTAAAGGAGTTCTTGAGCCCTTTCCCTTCCTGAGGCTGCATTAGGTCCTTGTTTTTCAGAACTCTCTTAACAAAGGGTCTCTTATTACATATGCTGACATTAAAGACTGTGGCAGTTTCTCTGCTACAGGTTAGTTGTTAGTCCATACAATGCTTTTTACTGACTGGTGCTGGAAGTCATGGCTTTCCTATTTTTGCCCTGCACTGAAGCTCAGTTGTGTGATTTTCACTGAAGCAAGCTTCTTGCTGCAATAAAAGAAGTGCAGAATTAGTTCAGAAATAAATAGCAAAGATAGTGCAATGCACTGCATTTTTCACTGTGCATGTGTAACATTATGACATTAAAAACCTGCAACTCAGCTGGGACCTAGATTAAGGCTCAACTGCCACAAAACCATAATGATTTAAACAAAAAGTCATTCTAGCAGCTGCCTAAATATTAATGCTGTGGAGTGTGTGTTTACTTACGTTATTTAAACTACTTCAGAAAGCAAGACACCTGGAATCAACTCATTAAAGAGAAGATATTCTAGAGAGATTGGTGACAGTAGTTGTTACTTTCATTAATAAAACCTTTTTAACAAATGACACAGCTTTTATTGCTGTGCTTTAAGCAAACTTGCCTAGGTAGAGATCAGAAATTGCTTTGAATCCTTCATTTAAGGCATTTTATATCAAATTACTTAATTCCAGGAAAAGTGTCTGGAGATAGGAGGAAGCTGGTTAAAAGCGTACAATATTTGTGGGTGGGAAACTATGAATTTCATGAAGACTTCTTAAACATGAGTGACCTTAAATCCATTGTTCATGGTGAACACAGTCTGATTTTTAACAATCTTTAGCTTATACACAATAATAATTTCTGCATGGCAGAGATACAGTCTGTCAATGATACATCTGAAAAACAAGCTTGTGGTGAGAATTAAGTAGAATGTTTGTTACAGAACCTGCAACTACAACTTATGTGCAGCTTCACTGAGCTCTAACCACTCGGGAGTTTTGTTGCAGATGAAGTGTATGTGTTGCCTTAAATCACAGCTACTAAAATCACTAAAGTTTGTATAGCTGTACTACGACACAGAGG